ATGGTATGGAATATCCCTTTGGTTGTTTTGGGTCAGCTGGCCTAGTCCTGTCCCCTCCCAGGATCTTACACACACCCATCCCTTTGAGGGGGGAAGGAGTGTCAGAGGGACAGCGCTGCTTGGCAATRGCCAAAACACTGCTCTGTTATCAGCTCCCGTCCAGCACTCATGCAAAGCACAGCACTGGAAGGGCTTGAGCTTTACCTCACTCAGACCCAATACAATAACATTAAAAATAATATTAAATAGCATTAAAAAAACATTCGAAATAGTGTTTAAAATGGCATAAAAATAGTGTTAAAAATAGTGTAAAAATAGCATTAAAATAGTGTTAAAAATGCCATAAAAATAGTGTTAAAAATGCCATTAAAAATAATGTTAAAAATATTGTTTAAAGTAACATTAAAATAATATTAAAATAGGATCAAAAATAGTGTTAAAAATGCCATTAAAAATAGTGTTAAAAGTAACATTAAAAATAGTGTTAAAAATGGCATTTAAAATAATGTTAAAAATATTGTTAAAAATGGGATTTAAAATAGCATTAAAATAGCATTAAAAATAGCATAAAATTAGTGTTAAAAATGGCATTAAAAATAGTGTTAAACAGTGTTAAAAATGGCATAAAAATAGCATTAAAAATAGGGTCAAAATAGCATAAAAAATAGCATAAAAATAGTGTTAAAAATGACATTTAAAATAATAAAAATATTGTTAAAAATGGCATTTAAAATAGCATTACAATTACATTTAAAAACATTAAATAGCCTTAAAAATAACATTAAAAATAGTGTTAAAAATGGCATTAAAATAGTGTTAAAAATATTGTTTAAAATGTTTAATGTTTAAAATGACATTAAAAATAACACTAAAATAGGATTAAAAATAGTGTAAAAATAACATTAAAAAGTGTTAAAATAACATTAAAAATAGTGTTAAAAATGGCATTTAAAATAATGTTAAAAATATTGTTAAAAATGGGATTTAAAATAGCATTAAAATAGCATTAAAATAGTGTTAAAAATAGTGTTAAATAGTGTTAAAAATGGCATAAAAAACATTAAAAATAGGGTCAAAATAGCATAAAAATAGCATAAAAAATAGTGTTAAAAATAACATTAAAATAGGGTTAAAAATGGCATTTAAAATAGCATTACAATTGCATTAAAAAACATTAAAGAGCATTAAAAATAACATTTAAAATAGTGTTTAAAATGGCATTAAAAATAACATTTAAAATAGTGTTTAAAATGTTTAATGTTTAAAATGACATTAAAAATAACACTAAAAATAGGATTAAAAATAGTGTAAAAATAACATTAAAAAGTGTTAAAATAGCATTAAAAATAGGGTTAAAATTACATTAAAAATAGTGTAAAAAACACTAAAAATAGTGTTAAAAATATTGTTAAAATGGCATTTAAAATAGCATCATTATGGTTGATGATTTAATTAATTTTAAATTAATTAAAAAGGGTTTAATTGGGATTTTTTTCCCATTTTTTTCAGGCTGAAGAGGACGACGGATATGATGTTTGGGGGGAAGCAGGTGGTGGTTTGTGGCTATGGGGAGGTAAGGGGGAGAAAATTCCCATTTTTTCCTGGGAATTTTGCTTGGAAAACCTCAGGGGTTTCCCAAAAAATGAAGATTTTTTTTGTGGGTTTTTTTATTAGGAAGGAGATGGCAAAGTTGAGTCTTTAAAAAAAAA